GGAACGTTGGAAGCACTGTCTGGCGCGTCTGCCTCCGCGACCCGAAAGGAGAAGCGGCGATGGAAGACGAAAATGAAGACGTTTTAATTTCGTCTGGATCACCGTCACTACAACCGAGACCGGTTGGCCAAAAACTGCAGTGGTTTCGAACGCAACGACGATAAAGAAATTCACGTAATTACGGGAAAAGTAACTTTCAATGGACTGTTGGAACAGCTTGCAAAATACGTCTGAGGGTATAAAACGCAGAAGCCACCTCAAGATGCAAATCATAATTGCCACAAATTACTGTCGAACCGCTGAAGGTGGCCTCTGTGCCATTGCTCTTGTTCATATTTATCTTATTCCTCCTTCCCAAAGCTTTTTTCTCCTTCGTCGTTGTTTTCTTAGTCTGTTTCGTTCTTCGTCGTCTTCTTCATTTCCTCTTTCACTTTCGCAATCATAGTCGAACGGTTGCCCGTAGTCAGCCTGTTGGCGTCTTACGTCTCCACTTAACTGTTCTCTTCTTCCTCCTCCCGACTATCCTTATCTTCTTCCACTCATTCTTCTTACTCTTTGTCTCCTTTTCATCTTTCGCATTCGGTATTCCTGTCTATTTCTCAGATCCTCCTTCTGACTCATATTCTTCTTCTTTACCATATTCTTGTCGTTCTATGTTCTGCTGATTCGTATTCGTTTTCATTTTGCTTCCTCCCATGAATTACTTCGATTCGTCGCTTTTCATTTCGATGATCTTGCATTGCTTCTTCGTCTTTTTCTTTATCCTCTTCATCTGCTTAAATCTGGTAATCTTACTTTTCCTCCATCCTCCTTCATCACCATCGTCGTCATCATCCTGTTTCCCACTCCTCAGAAAAGAGAAACAACCAGAAGTTCGCTCAATAAACGCTATATGAAAAGTGTCATAGACATACCGACCACTCACTAGTTCATCATCATTCTCCCGTTCCTCTGGCCATGCTTCTTCCAGTTGTCATTGGCGCGAAGCTAACAAGCTGATTTATAGATAACTTGCCGGTTAACTGATATGATGGTCCAGTTTGAGTAACTTTTCACATGAAAAAGTTCTCTTCACAAAACTACAGCCTACTTCAGTGGCTTTGGCTCGCTTCATCTTTCGTTTTTCTCTTCATTTTCTCCTGGCCATCATTTTCGACTGTCTCATTAGGCATTTTCATTATATTTTTCTTGCTGCTCCATTTGTTTTTTTCTTCTGTTTCATCCATCCACCGAACTTGACATTGTTGTTTAGTACATTATAATAGCCTATATGTGTATTCTCTTTCTTTTCGCGATAGGATATCGGTGTATGGACCGTCGCCAATCAGTTTAACTGTCTCTTAACCGAAAAAAGTTGGTTGACTAAAATTCTCAACAGTCAGCTGTTTTCGGCCTTGCTACTGCAGGTTACAAGAATTGTTTCCGTCACCATTCTTTTGGGGCAAATGGACGGACTCTCTCTTGGAGTCACGGGCTTACCCGTTACAGGCAAAACGGGAAACACATTGATACAAATGAGTTAGAATAAATAAATAAGACTCTGCCATTCATTGTATGCGATCGTTCCAAACCAGAAAGTGCGAAACCGTCAGTTCTCCTCCCGGATCAGACATGACCAATCACTGAATCGAGGTATGACGTTGTTGGACGTTGATTCGTCGCTCCAAGTTCGAGATGCGAGAACGTATTTACATTTGACATTTCAGGGTGTGCATACGCGGAGTCAATGATTCTTACAATGTATCTGATGAAGACGGGAAGCACTGTTAATCGTCATCGCCCTCCGATACGAAGAAGCTGAGGCCTTCTGACTGCGAAGACAGGCGAAGCTTCCTGACTCTGCTTTACCGGACGCAGAAACTGCACACTAAGGGAAAGTTGACAGGTCACCGATTACTTCTCTAACTACTTCACGAACAATCACCTTCGTCGGTAAAGGAGACGCGGAAAATTTTTAATAATGAACGTGGCCGAACGAACGCAATCAATGCAAATCATTTTTTCAAGATGACACTTTGTGCCTATGGCAAACTTTCTTGCCTCGCACAAACTTCCGCTTCGTTTGCTTAAGTTGGTAAGGAGGAGCGACCTCGCGTCTTGAAGTTTACATGCTGCCTTCTGTGCGGTTGTGTTCTGCTTCAATCGACCGATTCTACTTTTTGCCTGCCTCTTTTTCGATTTCATGACATATGGAACTCTGAGTGACATGCGTGCTTGGATGCAAGCAAGTAGTGAGAATTTCTTCAGCTTTGAGTGCTTGTCCATTCGTCGAACCTTGGCCTGGCTGACGAACGATTCACAAGGGATTTGCATGCCGTGCATGAATTTCTAGTTTTTATACGACAAATCACGGTTGCTGTTGCCTTGCTTTCAGAACGTTCGACTGCCGGTTGAGTGACCTGCCTCCAACCTCC